GTTTGCCTGTTTGTTTCACAGCACATTACTATTCGGAATTCTGCTGTGGCATCGGATCCGAAGCTTCCAGATAGACGTCCTCAAAGCAGACGGCCGGTCAAGATGTTCTAGATGCACGGCTTGCTTCTGATTCTGAGATCCAAGCAGAGTACCGTTCTGTAGGATGAACGTCAGGCGACCGTCTTGAGAGCACACCCCTTCTTGCCTTTGATTTCGCTGTGGGGCTTCCGCGTTTCACTAAATAGTTATATATTTGTTCAACTTCACCCACAGAGTCGTTGGGGATGGAGTTTGTTTCCCAGACCCCGGTGAGACCAGGCAAATGATCAGCACATTTGCCTCAAGTACCTGATGGGTCTCGATCCGCTGCACCTGGCTTGGGGAAGTTCTCCAGAGCGAACTACGGAACTGCGTTTTGGAGGTGGAAGAGCCAACAAATTTTCGAATGCCGGAGATCCAAACGTAGTTGGGCGGTGCGCGGCATTTGCTCCTGCACGCACTTCCACACGCCTGACCACTAGCTTTGCTCTCTCCTGCACGGCCAGGTGCCAAAGAAAGCCTTCAAACAGCTGCGCCGGCGGAGTTTGATTTTGCACGAGCTTCTTTTCATTTGGGGGCAATTAAGGAACATGTCATGTGCTTGTTTGCCTAGTCATCGTCGACCCCGGATTTCAATGGATTGGTTGGTTGGCTGGTCGGCTGGCTGGCTGGCGGGCTGGGCTGGGCTGGGCTGGGCTGGTTGCTTGAGGTCATGGTGCCTTTGTTGGGCTTTGCTTGAAGGTCGGCTGGGCCTTGGGGTGGGCTTGGGCATCATTTGGGCGGGGGTTGAGGGATGCCGGGTTTCGGGCTTCGGCAACCCTGCTTTTCAGACGAGGTCTCAGCTCAGGGTCTGAAAAGCGTTGAAACAAAGAACAAGCACCTTCTATGAGGGTGACACGGATTCTTTTTGAGCGGGTGTCGGAGGTGTTAGAGCTCTCATCTCTTGGGTTTCTTCTCCTTGCGACGTGACTCGTGCCACGAGTCGGCGGAAAGTTGAATGACCTGAGACGAGGTCCCAGCGTTGCCCCACACAATTGCACAATCATTTGAATGGGGGTGTGAATCTGTCAAACTCAGGTGCATTGGACATTTCCCAGTTGGCAGGTACAGAAGAGTACATCTCCCACAGTGGCCAACCAGGGAAATGCTTGGGTCGAAGGAACTCCCCCTGGATCAAAGAAAGGGGGAAGATTTGCAACCAGAAGGGCTTCGGGTTCATTTGATCCGATTTCGCCAGGAGCTTCATCCCCACCTTCTGCGATGACATTATGCCCCACAAGTATGCCGCACCCCTGGAGATTGGGGCTCTGGGCGTTTTTTTTGTTTGGGCGCGAGGCCAAGAGCGGACAATTGCGGAGCTCACTATTCTTTTTTCTTCGACCAGTCAGTTTGTGAGTCCCACCAAAGTTTGGTCTCTTCAAACTTGATGGCTCGCTTCTCCAGCCAAGGTATTGACTTTGGTCGATGGCGCGAAGTCAGGTCGCCCGCAGCGTGGATTGGATCGGAGCTGTCTGGTTCAAGTGAAAGGGTCCAGAGCCGGTCAACCATACAAGCCCCCGAAGTGCTGTGAAGAATCCTGGGCCTAGCTCACCATTTGATAGTTTGATGTATACAACACAACACACGGCAAGCTTCGTCCATTATGTGGCGTCGTGCTGCTCAATGGCCTTCTCGGGCTTGGTTTTCTCGATGCTATGTGAATGCCAAGGTGACCCAGCGCCGGCGAGACTTCGAGCAAAAGGTTTACCCAAGGATGTCGACACATGAGCCAACTCGGTTGCCCCGCCGTGGCCGACGTGGTGGTTGGATGCAAGATCCTCAGAGGGGAGTTGCAAAGCGCGACGGCACCAACTCTGCCCAGCGGGCATGGTGGGAGGAGCAGGCAGGCTCTGTGGATGAGGACTTCGTATCCAGGCTGCAAGCGGCTGACTCCAAAGGCCCAGCAGTGCAGGAGATCTTCGACCAGCACCTCGCGGCCATCGACGCCCTGAAAGTTGCCGTTCCCGGTGCTGACGAGTTTCGGCTTCCGCACATTCGGCAATTGGCAAAGACTCCAAAGCTCAACCCGGTGCACGAGGCCAACGTTGTGTCTCCTCCACTGCACGCCCCAGAAGATCAAACAGATACTGAGTTTCTGCACGCCTCGAAGGAGCGGCGCAAGCGGAGACGAGGTCGCTTCATGGGCTCCCGGGTGGAGGTCGCGGAGGCTACCCCTCTGGGGCCACGAGAGGCCTGGAGTGACACGGAGAGCGAGAGCGAGAGCGAGAGCGAGAGCGAGAGCGACGAGGACGTGCCGAGTCCGCGTCGAGGCCGAGGCGCCCGCGTCAGTGCGCGTGGCACGCGCGTGGCGCGAGCACGTGAGGCAGAAGCCCCAGTGGCGGAGTCGCCAGAGCCAATGGAGCCGCTGCGGACGACCGAGCTGGGAGATTTGTGGAGTGCTCTTGGAGCTTCTTGGGTGGAGCACAATCGCTGCGTGGTGCCCAGCACATTTCCAGCTGAGCAAGAGTTCGGAGATACACTGGACTCCTACTTTTACACTCGGAGCGCTGCCTCACTTTTTGACGTCTCCTTCAAAGTGTGTGTGCAGATTACTGGAGCAGATAGGGAGTTTGTCGCTGACCAGTTCCTGACATGCAATCTCAGGGCTATGCGAACTGGGGATGTTCAGTACGCTTGTGTCCTAGACAGCAAGGGTTTGATCCTTGATGATGCCTTTGTTTTCTTGGAAGATGATAGTGTGAACTTGCTCACTTCTGGGTGTCACTCCAAGCAGCTGGTGGACTATTTGGGTCAGTACGTGATCTATGTGCGGCGCTCCGGAGCAGATGTGGACCTCAGCTCGTTCTCGCACAGCGTGCTGGCCTTGCAGGGCCCGCGCTCACGCGAGGCTTTGGCCGAGGCGCTGGCAGATGAGGCGCTCAGCGTGCAGCTCACGACCCTCGGAGAGGAGGTCCCGTTGGATGGAAGCATCTTGGCGCAGATGCCCTACATGAGCGCCTTGGCCTTGCGGTCTCCAAAAGATCGGGCCGTGGTGCTGTGCGCGGGCATCACGGGCGAGGACGGTTTCGAGTTCGTCGGACCCGGGCGACTTCTGCACCAGGTGGCCGCAACTTTGCTGTCCGGCCAGGTGAAACCTGCCGGGGTGCTGTGCTTAGACATGCTGCGCATGGAGGCTGGCCTGGCCCGGGTCGGGCCAGACATACCTGTGGGCCTCTATTCACCTATCCGAGCTGCGCTGGCTTGGACGCTGGACCAGTCCAAGATGAGAAGCCACATGATGTTTGGTTGGCAGAAGCTCTTCAACCAGCTGGCAAAGGGCCCGAAATTTCGGCGAGTGGGACTTGTCCTGGATGGTCCAGGGCACGCAGGTTGCCGGCTTCTTTCCAATCCGAACCGGCAACCTATAGGTGTCATCACATCCACGGCCTGGAGTCCGCAGATGGGTTGCCGAGTGGCTCAAGCCTACGTCCGCCCTGAGTACGCCAAGTCCAACAAGCATTGCTTGGTGACTGTGCCGTACAACCTGCCGGTCCACAAGATGCGCAGGAAGGCCATCAAGCACTGGCTGCGTTCGGGCCCGCTGCGGTGTGCCTACCGCCGCCTGGTGGCCGCCTGCGTGGTGCCCCTGCCCTTTGTGCCGCATCGCTACCCGGATCCCGAGCCGCGGCGCCCAAAGCCTCGGAGCTCCCACCGGGCGGCGCCCAGCTTCGCAGCGTCGAGCCCGCGCACGTCTGGCCGGCCCCAGAGCGTCTCGACAGGCGAGCTGCTGCAAGAGGCCTATGAGCACCACTCCAAAGCGAGTCAGAGCGACTTATCGGGCGATCTGCCCCCAAAGAAAAGCGTGCGAATGACACAACAGGCCACCTGGAAACAACCAGAGATGTTCCTAGATGCACACAGTTTCCCTGAACACTGCAGTATTGGCTAGTACACGTCGCAAACAGATGCAACCAGATTGCCCTGCGCCCGTCCTACAATGCATGCCTTGTGAGGTCCTCCCGCTCTCCGAGAAAGAGTTCAATGACCGGTTGCGTTCGGTCGCTGGGTTTCCCGAAGCGAACGGGAGCAGAGCGGGGAGAGCTCCGCAAAAGGCGGCCCCGTTGATATCCCCCATGCCAGATGAGATGCAGGTGTTGCAATGGCATGTGGTTGACTCAAGGGAAAGAAAGAGACAAGGATCATGCGGTAGTTGCGAAACTTTGCGCAGGGGAATCATTGCCTTTGTGGGAAGGAGGGCTCTCAGCAATGCTCGGCGGTTGATAGCCGCCAGATGCACCTGGATACCTGTTGTGAGCACTTTGCTTTGCGTTGACCCGCGGTCTCAAGGCTCCTTCAATTCACGTGAAACTCACAATATTATCACCAGGCTGCTGGACTAGTCGATTCCAATTTTCTGTATGGGTGAACTGGTAGTGTTGGGCGATGCCAATGAACAGACCGGTCAGTGCCTTCGCTTCTCCGGTCCAGGAGAAGCACAAGCCCGGCTTCTGGGTGCGCATCATGGATGACATGGCGAGGGGCGCTGCCGGGCTCTCGGGCGATCGAGGATCTGATGGCCTTAAAACCAAGCACTCCACCTTTGCGTCCGGTTTTCGTGAACGTCCAGGACAGAGACAAAGAGAAAGTAGTTTGGGACTCATTCCATCAATCTGCGATGCTACATGCACGCGGTGTGACAGCCAAGCATTGTGCAGGATGTTCAGGACCTCGAGTCACACAAATAGCACTAATCACCCAGAGTCCCTAGTGCGAGCCATCATAGAATGTAACAAGGGCGAGCAGCATATCTTGGGATCGGCTTGGCTCAAGGCTCGCAGGGCTGAAGGTTGAACAGGAGTTTCTAGTCACTTTATGTTAATGGCCAAACTCAGGCACTGCCACATCACTAGGCCAGATCATTGTGGAATGAACAATTGCCAACACTGCCACCACTTGATTTGTTTTTGGGGAGCACGTCGGGCATGCCCGCATACGCATTCCATTTGCCCCACTGCTTTCATGTCTACTTGCGAGGAACGAGAATATTTCTCGGGGATATGCATCTCTCTCTCTCTACCAAACATATGCCTTTATATCCTATACATGGACAGAGAGTACTTCCCCATTGCCATTTCTACTCCATGCTGCTTTCGACACGCAGCAAGTGACAGAAAGCAACCCCTTGGATATGGCTCCTGAGTCTCCCGCCTTTGCGTTGAAACTCTGGCTGCCTGCAGCCCCACCTGAGAACGTGAGCCAAACTCCATCTTCAAACAGTTTGATGCCTTTTTTTCAGCAGTGGTTGGCTCGTTGATTGATGGATGGATGCATTGGATTGGATTGATTGTTTGATCGGCTGATGGATTGATTCATGGATTGGATTAGATTGGATTTGTTTTGATTTGATTTCTTTTGATTGGATTGGATTGGTTTCTATTGGAATAAAGGAAGGAAGGAAGGAAGGAAGGAAGGAAGGAAGGAAAGAAGGAAGGAAGGAAGGAAGGAAGGACGGAAGGAAGGAAGGAAGGAAGGAAGGAAGGAAGGAAGGAAGGAAGGAAGGAAGGAAGGAATCAATACATGAATTAATTGGTTGGGTTTCTTGGTTGCTTGATTGGCAATCCCTGAATTCAACTCCGGAGCGCTTTCGAGGCGTCGGGCCAGATGAAGGATCAGCTGCCCTACCGCTCAGGGCCGAACAAGCCAGTGGCCGGGGCCCCAAACTCACACGACAACGAGAGGTGATGGGTCAGGTGAGGTGAGTCACAATCAAACCCCGGATATGCGACACTTAATAAAGGGACAATCCCCACCACAAATCGCTGCGGCCGCCTTCTTAATTCTTTACATGGTGCTGGGTTGACCATTGCAATACGGGGTTTTGATTATAACTCGGGTGGAGTCAGCTGAAGTGACGACTTTTTCTCCCCGAGGTGGGGCACCTGACGCACATGAACCGCCACGTGCCGGTGACGCTGCTGGCGACCTACAGCGACGGGCTGTGCGACTTGGAGGTCACCGAGCTCTTCATCCAGAAGTGGGCCAAGCAGCAGCACCGCAGGCAGGGATTGGGGGGTTAGGGGGGTGAGGGGGGGTGAGGGGGGGTGAGGGGGGGTGAGCGGGGGGTTTGGGGGGTTTGGGGGGTTTGGGGGGTTTGGGGGGTTTGGGGGGTTTGGGGGGTTTGGGGGTTTGGGGGTTTGGGGGGTTTGGGGGGTTTGGGGGGTTTGGGGGGTTTGGGGGGTTTGGGGGGTTTGGGGGGTTTGGGGGGTTTGGGGGGGTTGGGGGGTTGGGGGTTTGGGGGGTTTGGGGGGTTTGGGGGGTTTGGGGGGGGGTTTGGGGGGGGTTTTGGGGTTTGGGGGTTTGGGGGGGGGGGGTTGGGGGGGGTTTGGGGGGGGGGTTTGGGGGGTTTGGGGGGTTTGGGGGGGGGGGTTTGGGGGGGGGGGGTTTGGGGGGGGGTTTGGGGGGTTTTGGGGGGGGGGTTTGGGGGGGGGGTTTGGGGGTTTGGGGGGGGCGTTTAGTTGGGTTTGGGGGGGGGTTTGGGGGGGGGGTTTTGGGGGGGGGTTTGGGGGGTGGGTTTGGGGGGTGGGTTCTGGGGGGGGGGGTTTGAGGGGGTGGGTTTGGGGGGTGTTTTGGGGGGGGGTGGGTTTGGGGGGGGGGGGGGGGGTTGGGTTTGGGGGGGGGGGTTTGGGGGGGGGGGGGTTTGGGGGTTTGGGGGGGGGGGGGGGGGGGTTAGGGGTTTGGGGGGTTGGGGGGGGGGGGGGGGGGGGGGGGGGGGGGGGTCGGGGGGTTTGGGGGTTTGGGGGGGGGGTTGGGGGGTTTGGGGGGTTTGGGGGTGGGTTTGGGGGGTGGGTTTGGGGGGGGGGTTTGGGGGGTGGGTTTGGGGGGTGGGTTTGGGGGGTTTTGGGGGGTGGGTTTGGGGGGTGGGTTTGGGGGGTGGGTTTGGGGGGTTTTGGGGGGTGGGTTTGGGGGGTTTGGGGGGTGGGTTTGGGGGGTTTGGGGGGTTTGGGGGGTTTGGGGGGTTTGGGGGGTTTGGGGGGTTTGGGGGGTTTGGGGGGTTTGGGGGGTTTGGGGGGTTTTGGGGGGTTTGGGGGGTTTGGGGGGTTTGGGGGGTTTGGGGGGTTTGGGGGGTTTGGGGGGTTTGGGGGGTTTGGGGGGTTTGGGGGGTTTGGGGGGTTTGGGGGGTTTGGGGGGTTTGGGGGGAAGAGCTGAGACGCCCATGGCACCCAGCCCCCGCCCCTCCAAGCGAAAAAGCCGAGGTTCGCCTTCCCGGGCACGCTGCACTCCACTGGGGAGCCGGGCTCGGAGCGCTTCATCCTGCGGCAGGTGCCGCAGGCGCTGCTCAGCGCGGAAGCCTAGAGGCTTCGGATGGGATCAGAGGGGTTGAGCTTCGGGGTTCGGTAAGGAATGTGGGCATGAGCGACACAGCCATACCTTGTCTTCTCATAGTCATAAGTCTTAGTGTCTGTCGCAGAGAACGGCTGCCATTTGTGATGGGGATGGCGGAGATTATTAGTGTCATGATGTGCAGTCACTATCAGAAATCACTCTCGCTATTGTGATGGTGAAGATGGGCACTTCACATGCACTTTTGCACTCGGTGTCTTTGCCATGCACAAAACACCCAACTCTGAGTCGGTTTCCGCAGCTTTCCTGGGCTGGGGGTCCGTTCCCGTGATTTGGGTCGCCTGGTACCTGCACCAGAGCCGAATCTCATAGTGATGGCTGACACCTGGTCGGTGGTTGTAACTCATCAGGGTTCTGTTCAGGGTTGTAGACAGACCCCTTTGCACAGAGCCCCTATATCTAACCATTGTGTAAAGAAGGGGTCTGTGCGAAGGGGGTCTGACAACAACCCATACTGTTTGGCTGAGACGACTTGAGATTCTCAGCAGAAAAACAGTCTTTCTCCAAGGTGCAGTGCACTACTCGGGCATCAACATCTACGATGCTGCGCCGGAGCCCCAGAGGTCGTGCAAGCTGGCTTTTTGTGTGAGGCAAAGGGTCGCTGGACAACGCGATTTTGGTGCTGGTGGCGGTGGCGGGGATGTTGTTTGCGGCGGTTTTGGTTGGGATGGCGGCGGTGGTGACCGTTGTGGTCGTGGTGGTGTTGGTGTTGGTGGGGTTGGTGGTGTTGGTGATGATGATTTTGATGCAACATATTCAATTTTGTCCACCGACATTTCAGGCATGATGGATAGCAACAAAGGTAGTGCATAGCCTGCACATTCCAAAAAGAAGGCAGTCTTTCGAAGGTCAGCCTTCATTTTTGCCGATTGCCGAAATCTCAAAGATCAGCCGCAGAGCGTAATATCTATTTTGCAGCTTAGTGTTTCCGTTTATGCGCGCGACACATATTTAGACTCTTGTAAACATGAATCACTTCTGAGCAACTCCATGACGGGAAGTTTCTGTGTGAGAGTTTGAGAAAGTCAATGTGTGGTTTTTACTGGAATCAATCAGCGGATAGTAGTGAAATTCGATGCGAACTTCTGCAAGCTTCCCCATTGCCCAAGAGGAACCCTGGATGCGGAGGATTCAGCTAGAGGCAAGCGGTCTAGCCCTCGAGTTTCATTTGAGAGTGACACACTTGGTGATTCAAAGTTTCTGGAAGGAAGCTCTTGGAGAGACAGCGCTGCTTGATGTGAGCTGTCGGATTGCCAGCTTGATGTGTTGAACTAATATGTGTGCTAGCCGCTTCTATGCAGTTTTTCCAGCTTGTAGGCAAGCTTTATGAAATTCACACTTCGCGAAAGGTGAGCATTGTGTTGGTTGCAGCCCCAGTGCTGTCGAGGTCTACGAACATGGCCCGAAACGCATAGCCAACAAGTGAAAGAATTCGGTGGTTGACCCACTGAGCGCCAGAGTGCGCTCACGCGGTCTCGACAGGTTCAAGTCCACCCTGGATGTAATCAAAAGCCCTCGACCCTGCAACGACTTTGACCCTCGCTCCTACGAGGCGCCGGGTGGGGGGCGACCGACTAGCCGAGAGCCCCGCAGGCTTAAGCCGAACTCAAGAGGTCTCCGAAACCGTTCCCCGAACCTGGCAGTTGGATTGGGAGTGCAACTGCAGTGATTTGCTCCATTGGGGCCGTACATTCACCGGAGTTTGGGGACAAGTGAGCAGAGTTGTTCTTCTTCCATGTCTTCTTCCATGTATTCGTTTGGTAAATGCGGGAACTCTCATTATGCTGGGAGGCCCCGCGAAGGCAAATCTGGCGGGGTCAAGGATTGCGTAGCCAGTCTGCACGGGCTGTAGACAATCCCGCGTAGGCATGTTTGCGTGGGCGTGTATTTCGCCATTCGGTTTCTGTGGCACTGATGTTTCCACAGCCAGCTGGCCCCCCGTAGGCTCCGCGTAGGTCCTCACAGCCAAGGCCTTCCGCAGCTGGCGAGAATGAAGACGGAAGCGTCCGCCCAGCAGAAAGGCTACACAAAGCTGCCAAGAAACGCCGTCAACGACAAGCTTCCTGTTGGTTGTCGCCTTATGTGCCGCTTCATCTTCATTTGCGACGTGTTCATTCTCGTCTGACGAGTCTCAAGAGCAGCGCCCGAGGAGAGTCAGCTGCATAGGCACTTGCTGCGGCAGAGGCTTGCAGACGCATCCTTCCACGAGTTCACGCACCCACAAAACAACGCGTCAGCACAAGCTCAAATGGACAAAGATCGATTCCTGGATGTTTTCAGTGGGAAGAACATCTGCCCGGCCGTGGCAACATCTTGCCGATTCAGCCCAATTGCAGGGTTGGACGTAACAGACTGCCCAAGCTTCTTGTTTTCAGCTGCATTTTACATTTGGGGGTCCGTGTGGGGAATGCCCCAGGATGCAGCCTGAACCACTGGGTGGGTTCTTTTTGGTTTCGTCGATCCAGAGTTTTTGACGATTTCGGGTATTTCTCTCCTATTAGATATTTGGTGTTTGCATGTTCTGTTTATCATTTTCGGCATATGCGCTTTCAGAAGCATCATGGCTTGACTCCCCAGTCCCGGGGCAGTCTGACTTTTCAATTGCACATATGGGTGTGTCTTTTTGAGGGTACCCCTTCCTTTGTGGTTTTAAAGGGCAACCAAAGGAGAACCGAAGCCACGGGAGTATAATAAAAAAAAAAGATGCTCTCATATCATTCAGCTAGTGTTCAGGTAGATTGTTCTTTAGGTGTGCCACTTTTGATTACATGGCCACAGGCGTGCGCTATGACGCTTTCCTTGCCCTCAAGTCATGTTTTTGGTCACATGCCGAGTCAGCTGTGGAAGACTCCTCCCTCACAGTTCAACCTGTTGCATTCTTTTTTTCATCAGGATTTTTTGGTTGGACCCGAGGTTCCTTGTACATTCCTGACATCGGTCCACGTGCGTCAAAAGCTGTGAAACAAGGCCCGCCAAATGTGGTTCCAAGCATGGAAGTGGCTGGCGCTCCTGTAAACAGCTTCCGTTGATAGTTTTTAGGTTGGTGAGACCACTCGGGAGACCCGGGCATGTTGGCCTCCATTTTGTGGCTACAGCGGTTCCCTCATTCGAGGGCTGCCCACATCCCTCTCCGCAGGCATCTCAGCTGGCGACCCCAGTCTTCCTTCTCTGGGCGGGTGGCGTTGGCCGGTGGCCAGTGGGTTAGATGGGCCTTCGCAGCTCTTTAAACCACATGGCTGGCTTGTGTCAACGGCAAAATGCCTCGGGGGAGCTTTTGTGATGCATTGCTTGCTTTACATTTGGGGCGATGATCATTGCCGCATGGGGAGATAATGAGCGAGGGGTTCGGATTGCATCGGGAGATTTCTGTGCTTCACAGTTGCTGACCAATCGCAAGGAGTACTGACAGTGCGCTAGGTCCATCTACCACGGAAGAAGTCTCCTGGAAAGAAGGATGTAGTCACATGGGTGCATTTCCAACGAGCACCACGTCAGCCTGTACATTTGCTTCTATCAGAATCTGGTTCCATTTGCTTCCAACCTCGTCAAGCGCGTTCATGCAATCCACAAGCACATGACAGGCAACTTTGCTCAGAAGTCCCTCACCGAGCGCACTGAACAATGCAACGATGATGACTTTCATTACTATTAACGGTTTCAAAATAGGGAACCCCAAATGGTGGTTCTCCCTGTGGTTTCGCTTTTAAACCACGTGCCCTCAAAGAGACACACACACACACACATGCACAACTCACAGAGACCAGGCATGGCAAGGGCGAGAGCTTCCAGCTGGAGCCCCGGAGTCTTTTTTTTTTGTTTCTCGCGGGGAGAAGGGCTGTCAGCTTCCGCCCAGTTGGTTTGGATCGGAACTTGGGGTGTAAATCCCCAAACCAAACCTCCAACCCAAACCACGAATCAAGAGATGCCGGATCATGGGGATCCCGTTCTTGTTTGGGCTGCACAAGGATCCATTGGCCAGGTGCTTGTCAAAACAAGCTCCCCCGAAATTCCTCAGTAGACTGACCAAGTACAAAATGAACCCTGTATCCTTGGATGTGCCCAGTTTTGGGCAATGTTTCGGCTAGCAGGCACCATGGCCGCTGAGAGTTCGTAGCACGACGGCTTCGCTCCTGTGATCGGCGGAGAGATTACGGGATGGTCGTTGGGTCGTCTCATGCCATCAGCGGCTTTGCTGGAAGTGGCTGCCGTTTGAAAAAGCAGAGCCGTATCAAGGGGCACAAAGAACGAGAAGGGGGCAGAGCAGATTTTCCCAGGGTGCCGGTGAGGGACACTTCAGAGACAAAGGTCACTCCTTGGAGCACTCTAGACACGTCAAGGGCTCCGCCACCAAAACGTGTGTGTGGAAACCAAAGGAAATGACCGAATCCCATGTTGAGGCTTCCCCTGCTTTGGCGAATACCAAGCATTCCGCGAGGTTTTTCTTCGGCTCAGGTACAGTCTCGCGGCGGGGCCGCTGCCTCCGGACGCCTCGCCCGCAGCTTGCGAGTACGAGTTCACGGTGCGGCTGCGCTTCCCCAATGAGCGCGGGACCTCGGACGGAGCCTCCCCACTTGCGCCTGAAAATGTGAGCTGGAAAAGGAAGAGACAGAGTTGCTTTGGAAGAGGAACTTTTCCTGGACCTTTCAGGTTCCTCTTCGGACTCACTGGCTTGATAGCTTGACAGCACTTGAAATCAGAGCCACCTTCACATCACTTGTGGTCGACGAGGCTCAGCAGGATATTCCGGCCCTCTTTCGTTCGCTCGCATCCACACATCCTGAACAGCCCCGATTCAAATGTGTTCAGAAAAGTTTGTTCGATGTGGTGCAGTGTTGCCCCCGCAATCCTTCTGCTCCATTTCAGCAGCTCATGCCATGTGTTCGCCTGGAAAGCTTTCTGCTTTCCCGCACTGACTTGGGGTCCTTCGCGCGCGATCAGCGCATGGGAATTTTCCAAGCTGAGCCCTGGAGCAATAGACATATACCTTAGAGATATGACCCGTAGGTGCCCATTTGGGGCCTTTGGAGGTCTGGAGACGCCGAGGTTTGAGATGTACCATTTCGTGGCCATGCTCCGCCGCTGCGTGCGTGTGGATCACTTCCAGCAGGCGGAACTCAGGGATGACGAGTGCGCGGTGGGCGCAATCATCATGGTTAGTTTTTGTTTGTTTGTTTGCCTATCCACTTTTTGTCGTCTCTTCAAAACACACACGATCGAGAGCGAGAATCTAGTGGACCTAACCTTGCTATTGCAAGGGAAAACCTGTCGGGCACTCACCTCGGCCAGGCCTCGAAGATGTTGGAGTACCAGCAGCGCACCCAGATGGCGCAGAGGACGGCGCAGCACCGGCCCTACAACAAGTCCGGGGGCCAGCTGGATGCGGGGGGCCCCAAATTGCATGTCACAGGGGGGATACGGGTGCCCTTCTGATGCGCGCGTGTGCCACCCAGTGTGTCAAGGACTTGTTTTGGTGTCATTTGTGTGAGGCCTCGGATTCCGTCATAGCTGCTGTCGTCGCAGTGGTTAGATCCAGAGTCCAGAGGGCAATTGCGCGCCGCGGCCCAGCCTGAAGGTGAAGACCGCGTGGCCTTTCAGGGCGTGCGCAGCTAGAGGAAGAGCAAAAAGTATGACATGAACATATAGCAATACTGATAGCGATACTGAGCATAAGACGGCATAAGAAGAAAGGGCAATGGTTTCTGGGCTGGATGTCACGGGTGTTTTTGGGCAAGTCCGGACAGTTCAGCTGCCAAATTCGGTCAACCTGATCACGACCAGCAGAAATCAACAGATGGGAGAGAGGCCGTGACCCGCCGATGGAAAAGCGGTCGGTCAGGTTTTGTTGGCAATTGCTAGTTGATTAAAGTGAAACTGCCGCATTGTAACAGCGACCGTTGAAACAGCGGCGAGTGAAGTTATAGTTCCGCGCCAACGCCAAATCCATGTATGCGGTCTGTACGCACGCAAAAAGTATGTCGCAACATCTTTGCTTCACCTCGTCTCAGGCGCTTTTACCCACAAGCTCGGAAACAAAACTCAACACAAAAGAGAGCCACACTTAGGCTCCGCGTATCAAGCGACAAGCAACAGCCAAAGCCACGGCCTCCAATCTTAGGTGGTACTGGTGGAGGCACGGCGCCTGAAGCCGCTGCAGAGCGCGCTGAACACGGTGCTGCAGTCGGACCCCGTGGCCCTGTACCAGTCGCCCGGCCCCCAGCCACCGGAGTCCCGGGACTCCGGCGCACAGAAAAACACAGACAAACCAAGCAATCAATAAGCAGCAACCCAGTACAAACCGGACAGGCAAATGAGTAGATTAACATTTGTAATTGATAGACATATGAGACATAAGCAGAACAATCAGTCATGATAAGGCGCACAGCACAAGCGCATGCATGGAGGACTGGAGAATGATGCACAAACAGACAAAGGACATACACAAGCGACTTAGTAAATGAATGCACTCATCTACCTACCCACCTACGTACATACCTACGTACTTATACACGTACGTACGTACGTACATACACACAGACAGACACACAAACAAGCACACACACACACACACCCACACACACACACGTATACATGTATGTCTGCATGGATGCATACCCATTTTGCATTGCAAGGCTATGCCGTTCCAACACAACAGAATGCACGCAAGACAAGACACGACAACTCTTCAACGATCACACCCAGATCCAGCGGACCAGACCACCCTGCCCTGCCCCTCGTCCCCCCCCCCCCGCCCAGCACTGAGGAAAGTTTGTGTCAGGCTTCCGCAGCCACACACAAATTAGCATGAGGCAATCACCGTCTCTTTCAATCCAGTGTCTTTTCTCGTCTCGGCTTGGACTGCATGGCGAGTGACTTGATGACCCACGCCACAGGTTTTTCTTTGATTAAACAGTCTTGGTTTGCCCGGAGTAAGGCATGGGAGCGATGAGGTAAACTTTGGGTACTTTCAACATGAACCAAGTGCACGTTGAGTCGTTGGGTGACACAAACACATGACAAAGATTCGAGTGCGCAGACCGATGTATGCAAACTATGTTTCTTGTGTCTGCCAGTGGGTCAAAGGGGGATTTATGAACTCCATGAGTGGAACGGCTCGAATTTCTAGATATGGTTTATGTTGAAGGTCCTTCTTTTGTTTAACGTGCTAGGAGCCTTTGCGATATTGTTTGGCTCTCTTCAGGTGGTCAACTGGCAAGACGGACGTGGACCCATCTCAGTCCAACCAGATGCTGGATGCCAACTACCTGCTCGGGACCTCAGACTGGGTGGCTCAGGATGCGCCCCAACTTTCGGGGACGGCAGCTGGTTTCCGGCGGTGGGACTTTCCAACCAGCAAGTATCTCCCGTATCCAACACATGCTGCGGCAACAGAACCACTGGACGAATAAGCCTGGCTTCTTGGACAAGATATATGCCTAAGGAACTCGCACGAACCCCACAAGAAGGGTCGGGGATCTCCATTATTGGTGGAATCAAAAGAGAACAAGGAGACAGGGCTACCTTTCCCGGTCCCCGAAGATGCCCACTGTTTCAAAGCACATTGTCTGGGTGGCCGACGAGCGTCAGTGTTCAAGGATGTAGTGTGTGAGAGATGGGGGTCTCCAAACACCGTATACAATTCCGCATGGAAGTGCTTTGCCTGATCCTCGCAACCGCTTCTTTTGGCCAGGCCCGAGCTGATGGGCACAACGGACGGGCAGCTGGTGAAGGGCACCCCGGAGGGCAGTCCCATCAGTACCTTCGTGAACTTCCGGATGCTGCACCGCCAAGAGGCGCGTGGGCTGCAGCGCGCGAAAGCGCTCGAATGCCCGGTTTAGGGCCCATGGACCTGAGGCATTGGGAATATGAGTTGGCCAGTCATGGGTCGGGCCAGGGACTGCTTGCTTTTTTGGCCACCATCTCTCAGATTGTGATATGACGTCCTCCCGCACTGTCTCATTCGGCCGCAGTTCGGCCCACAGATTTGGGGGAGCAGAAGGGCGTTGATTGATGCCTTCTTCTGCTTGCTTTCGCCCACCAATGATGGGTCAACTTTGCGAAACACCTTTGGCAGGGTTTCCTGCCTGATTGCTTCATTTCAGGGAGAACAAGTTTGATGTACATGGAGCAATCCGAGGTTGGCACACAAACGCGATCATGTTATTTTTCTCCATTACTTCCATGTTTATGTTGACCCCTGATTGACAGTTGATAGTATCGGACGGCGGAAAGACCCTGTCAACAGGAAAGAAGTCTGGCAAAACCCCTGAAGCTGTGCTGGTTGTTGAAGGTTGGCTACCCTGTCAAGGTGATTGTCCGCGGAGGCTCTTGATCTTGGGTTGCTTCCTCTCGGGCTTGCACCGTTGGGAGGAGTTAGGTCATTATCGTTTCTGGCCCTTTCAGTTGAGAACGTTTGGCCCCCAATGCAAGTGGTTTCCCAAAAGCTGATTCATCACGAAGCAACCGTCCGCGCACATGGGCAGGCGCCGTCCCCTTTTGCGGCGCTCAGGCAATCAAAACCAAGCACAGTTCCCAAAACCTTGCCGCACATGTTCTCACACAAGCCCGTCAGCTGAAGGGGTTCTTCGAGTGCCCCCTTTGGTCTCAGAAAGGGCATCAGGATGAAAGCAATCTTTCGCACGGATTTCCAATTTGTAGACACCCCCTTGTAGCACAAATGGGCAAGCCCAGAAAGCAAGCTCTGGCAGTTTCCATGTTATCCATGTTGTTTGCTAGCAAAAGCTGCCTTTGTTTCTCATTTGTGTAGGCTCTGCCTGGCGAGACAGCAGGGCAGCAAGAGGCACGGGGGTAGAGGGGGAGTGGGGTAGATGCAAGGACTCGTAGCCTCGGAGGCCGCTCGAATGGGAACTTGATGATTGTTTTCTTCTGCATCAACCTTTGCACCTTTGGCCAAGCGCCAGTTTGGCTTCGGGGTTCACACAGCGGTGATGCCACTTCCTGGGGTTGGTTGAAGTGGGGAGTCTGCAGAGTCCCAATCCATGAACTGAGATGTGAAGCTCCTTTGGCCAAGTGAAATGGGCGCATAGCCGTATCAGAAGGGCTTCCATGCTCACAAGGTCAGCTGGGAAACCAGGCAAGTTGCTCCCCAACTGAAGTGCCCCTCGTTCCCCGTTTTCCAGTCGCCGTGGTCGGGATTGCAGTCACGCGCGATCGACCGATCGAGCGACCGACGGGTCGAATCCTTGAGATCATCGCCTTCCGGGGCCAGAAGGTCCAGGTTTCGCCCGTGGGGCGGCCCAGAATGGTTGCAATCCCGAAGTGGGCTGGGTGAGCCCTGGTAAGTTGCTTGGATTTTGAAGATAGGTTGGTGGGCTGGCTGTGATGGCTGGCTGGTGGGTTGGTTGGCCGTGACAAGCTGATGGCTGGTGGGCGCAGGTTTTCGGCATCTGAGTCTTAGGCCAAGGTCCGGGCACGCATTCGAAGCGAGATGTATCCAATATGTCCCAGGAAACCCACATCAGGGCCCAATCAGTTTGACGGGCTCATGAGGTAATTATTCCGTGAGATGAGAATTCTGGCCTCTGACCCAACGGATGCCGAGAGACCTTTGGCTGATCTCATCTTAGCTCTGACCGCGGCATCCTGATCCGAGCTGCGCCCAAGACCCCTGTCACTGTAGACAAGGGTTCTGCTTCCTGGTTTAGATGGGTCGTTGGGAGGGCTTTTTTCCCCTTTTTTCCCTGTTTTTTTTTCCACAGACATCTTGGTAGAGCCGACTGTCAACTGGCTTTGGGCCTGCTCATTGGTACAAATTGTCTGCTTGCAACTTGCAACTAGGGAAGTCAAGGTGCGCCTCAAAGTGGCAAACCCTCGGGGAACGGCGGTCTCAAAAAGGACAGCGCCACGACACGTGGACGCCTTGCGATTGACCCCTGAAAGACCAACTTCCTAAAGAGAGCCCCCAGCAGGGTTCCGTGTTTTGGACCACCTTGGGCTTGGGGTCGACTTTCACACGGGGGTTTCCTTTGTGGGGGACTCAACCACCCTCCGTGTCCCCCATGTCGGAGGGAAGCTGTTTGCCATTCAGGTCATAGACGGCACAGATTCCCCGTGCTGGGCGAAGTTTTCGGAGCTGGAGCAAGCCGGAGGCGGCTCTTTCTTTTTTTTGGGGGTGGGGAGAACTGGGCTTTTGGTGGATTGCTTCCTTTGCTTTTTTTGGAGGCTTCCCTTGAATCGGTGGGTTTGGACTTCCCTTTTACCCTCTATAAAAACCAGGAGTTCTGGATGACTTTTTTTTTTTTTAAAGGGAGGCCTCCCTTCAGTTGGTGGTTTGGACAGGGAGTGTTCCCATTTGCCCTCTACAAGAGCCAGGGGTTCAAATCCCCAAGCCACCAATCCAAACCACGAACCAAGGGTTGCCAATTGCTTTGGGTGTTGAAAGGGAAGTTAACAGGAACATCACGTTTTTTGGGTTCCTTATTTTGACACACACACACACACAAACACAGAGCTGATGGAGATCCTTTGGGATTGTCGTGGGAAAACAACAGCGGCTCCCGGAGGTTCCACCATGCCGTGACTGAAGTTGGAGCCACACCCAAATCGTGTTGCCAAGTTCTCGTGTCTAGCAGACGGTGCACGAGCGGGAGTTCTGAAGAGAAAGTAAGCCGCTTTGAGAGCAAATATGCCCTGTCCTGCGAAAGTGGTTGTTGCCGGGCTGACTCGGCTCCAAAGGTAAGGGGGTTTAACTGGGCCCAACTTGGACTTGTCTAAGTCTAAGTGGTAGTTGTGAAGGTCGGCTCGCGTGGGTTAGCCCAAGGTCTTTCGCAGTTCTTGACATTTCCGCGGTTTCGGGATACATTTCTCCTTCGGTCATCCAGCGATTCCTTGACAAGAATACAATTTGATGGGAAAGTGGTCCATAGGGCTTCGTGACGTGCCGCATTGATGGATCTGGCTCGCTCCTTCGGGTCGCAGGTTGGACTTTCCGGACGGGCGTCATCGATCCAGAGAAGTATCCCAAGCTGCATATCGAATTCGAGGCGAGCTTCGAGCAAAAGAGACTGGTGCAAAATACATGTACAGGGCTTTGGATTGATTCATGGGGACTTGGGAGAGAGCAAATTGGGCCTGCATATCTCTCGTGCAGGTCATGCAAGCTGGCATCCCCTCGGCCAAGCGTGTGGGCGCGATCCAGATCCCGGTGACCGAAGAGCGCGCCCGGCTGTTTGAAGGTGCCACCATGCCTCCTTCGAGGGCAAAGGCAGGAAGCCATGGAGAAGCTGCGCGGCTCTGCGTCATCCGACGTCGTTTGCTTTGGTGCTAAGGTGGCCGGCTTCTACTTTGGTTCTGTTTTTGGAAGCCTACCTTTCCTTGTGGGAAACGTAGAAAGCGAATGCGAGGGCACCCAAGCAAGAAACCCAGATTGTCGGCCCATATGAGTTGACGGGCAGAGGTGGCAAGCGGATCTCATGACTGCTCCTCCAAACTACCCAGATTGAAAAGACCCTAGTACTGTGATTTCCCTCTTTTCAAGGCACCTTACTCCAACTAAACGCCATTGAGATTTTGGATGAATTACAACCCTTGGTGCCGCTGTGCATCCCTATTTGGGAAATGGCGGTATCTTCAAGGTAGCCCTTAAGCAAAGCAGAGAAAATGTACGGGTGAGACACTTTGAAGGGCCATCACAACAAAAAATGAGTGGACCGTGCATACCTCCCTCCTTCATTCCTTCATTGCCCGATCTCATAGAGGCTCCATTGCGGCAGCGCGGCCCCATAATTCGCAGGAGGTTTTCACAAACGAACAGGCTGCTTGCTCAAGTTCTTGCTCTGTGCTTGTTTTGAGGAGTACTCGATGCTGAGAATTGGAGTTGTGGAAATTGTCATCCCTTATTTCTTATCTTACAATTTGCCGACTGTATCGAACGGCATGCGGTGTTCCCCTGGTCTTTCAACTATAAGTTGGGCTGTGAACTTTGGGCTCTGGTCTCAACGCGTGCTGCTTTCGGCTGCTTGCCAGGCAGTTCCTGACAAACCCGGATCAGCTCTTCAAAAACCTCTGGCTGCCCCTGGTCAGCGTGAAGGAGCGACATATGCTGATCACCTGCGGGACCCTTATTATATATTCCCCCCACGCTTGAGTTCCAGGCTGAGCAAATCTTAGTTGAGGGTGGTTTCCTCTCGTTTCTTGCTTTTGGTGCGTTCTGAAAAGGAAGGGTGGGCACCCAAACGAGGGCCTCAACAAGGACTCTCTGAGTCCCTTTGAGGCCCTGCACAACTGAATTGAACTTTACTTGGGGTCTTGGAAGGACCATCAACTCTATGGATTCTTCCAAGCACCAAAAGGATCCCGGGCCGTGGATAATAGCTGGACTCAGCTTCCGGGGGCTTTGGGGGGGGTTCCCTTGCCCGGGTGGAAGACTGCGAGGATCCCCTTTACTCGTCTTTCGGTGTCAGGACGGGTCGCACACGCCCAATGTCACGGGCGAAATCCACATCATGACACGCTGGCTGCCAGCGGAGATGAAGCAGGTGGGGGTGCGTTGGGGAGCTGCAAGACTTGGAGTTGAGAGGCAGGGCGACGAGACACGATGAGCAGAATGACACATCGATTCGAGAGCTTGTCACCCTTAGTGAGCTGCTCCTGTTGGATTTCGCAAAGCCTTGAAAGCGCCGACTTTAGCAACGCCATAGCCATGGCATGGGAACCGGGAACAGAGGTTGAAAAGGGTTGTTTCTAGCCGACCGGAAGGATGCAAGATTCATATCTGGTCTGGTTTTTGCGCTTTTGTTCCCTTTCCAGATTGTGCTGGCTGTTTTTTCTTGAGGGAACTTGTTGCCACTTTTCACCATCTTTGGAGTCGCCCTATTTCGACAACCTAACAAGAAATGGTGTTTTCCGCACTGGATCTTGCCAGGTCTTCTCCGACGGGCAAGAGAAGATGCAGCTCTCGGTGAAGCCGGGATCTCACGGGGGCGGATGAGGGATTCATAGCTGAAAATGTGGAATTGGACCCTGAAATAGTTGGTTTCCTCTTGAAACCAATCCAAAAAGTCTACCCTCCAAAAAGCCGTGTCTCCAATTCATCACAAGGCAGTTTCGGGTTTGAGAGAGTTTCAATGCCACACTCTCAAAGGAGGAGTGGGTGTACATGGCCACTAGCTAGCCACTATTTGAGAGTTGTACAGCAAATGGAACTCACTTAGATTGGCGTCTCGCATTTTGCAAACAATGCTAGTTGTTTATGCAAAGGGCTGAATGGCCTACACGGCATCCCTTTATGCAGATGAGGCGTCAGACTTCACTTCGATGGTGAGCTATTTTGTTGCAGCTTTATTGGGTCTAGCCCAACGAGGTTCCAGGTTTTTGCCATACCTTGGGAGAATTGAATGACACTCCCTTTGTCCAACCGATCCTCAAGCTGTTTCACCAAACCCGACCGATTTTGCAACCTTTGTTGACTTGGTGCTGCTGGCGTAGCCGGGTTAACATTGCTGAGGGCAACCTCTTAGCTGAAGGCGAGTGGGGAGTGCGCAATGGTTTAGGAGTTAAACTCTGCAGGATACTTCTTCAAATGAACCCTATTTGCCGAATGCTTTTGCGGGCCGGATCAACCGCAGGTCCATGTTCCTGAAGGACAACTGGCACAAGGCGCACGGGGCCGGGTGTGCATGGTGGCCTGTGTTTGACGGCGTGCTGTTTCAGTGGTGAGGTGTGTCCCCTCGTAAGTCGAGATGCGGTTTTTGGGGAGCCTTTTTTTTTGCCGAGAGCTATCCTGGCACACACATAAAGAAGGCATCATTCCAGCCTCATTTGAAAGTAGCACAGCACAGCTGTTCTGGGTTTCCGTGCTGCGACCTTCTTATCAGCATGCTTTCTTGAGGTACTTTAGTTCTCATGCTCGGGCCCCTGTAATCATGCTTGTCATGGCAGGGGACACGAGAGCACATGTATAGGCCTTGGATCTATGCGTATTGGCCTTGGAGGCCAACATGTGCCTATGCTTTTTGCAGTTGCACATATTGACTGTCAATGTGCTTCAGGCCCCACAGGTCCCAGACATTCGGATAGAGGCTTGGCGATGTGCCTTTCCATGCCACTGGTCAGTTGTACGCGACAAATCGAAGCTTTCTCGAAAGCCATGGCGTGTGGGCAAGGATGGAAATTACGCAAACTCCATGTTCTTCATCTTTTCATCTTGTGGGAGTTGTCACCAGTTCAACCGTGGCACTGCCGGTGACAAAGTAGTCGAAGGCAGCTCAGAACAGCCAGAAGTTCGTGGTCGAAAGTTAGTCATCGCATCAGGCAGCCCATCAGAAAGGCCAAAAGTTACTTGGTGGCTCCCAGCCATCCCCTTAGCCTTTTAGCTTTTTAGTGTTTAGTGGTAGTTTCCATGTAACCCACTGAAATTTAGTCACTTTTAGCGAGGGATCTGAAAACGGACAGCCCAGGTTAGTTTTGGGGTAGGTGTGTACCACCCTGTTTAGAACCTATTTTAGTTGGGATTGGGATGTTCACTGGGGGTACGGGATTTTGACCCATGGCCATGTCATCTCGGCAGATTAGCTAAAGTCGTCAAGTTGGCTCAAAACGCGCTGGCGCCACCCCGTGGATCAGCTGCGTGGAGCTGTGAGGTGTGCCAGCCCCGGGTGCGGGAGCCCATCTACGGGCTGGAGGCGGTGTACCACCAGGGAGTCTACAACCCGAACACGGTGAAGAGCAAAGAGGCCGCGGAGTGGTTTTCTCGTCTTTGTTTCTAGTTTTCTCGTCTTCTTTTCTAGTTTTCTCGTCCTTTTTTCTAGTTGTCGTCTTTGATGTTCTGAATAAAGGTGTCTTGCTTGGTGGGAGTTGGCTTCTTTTGCATGCGTCTTGCTTTGTTTGGCGGGCGCAGCCGCACGTTGGGCCAGCAAGTTGGGGCGGCGCATGCTGACTCAAATGGTCAATGAAGACACGTTGGTTTTTGGTTGACTGTGATTCTAGATCGCAGTGCCCGAGGGAGCCATGATCCTGGAGCTCGATTTGAGAGTCCCCCACGGCATAAGACGGGAGTGGAGACTTGACTTTGGTCAGCGAACGAGCATATTCGTCATTGAGTAAGACAAACTGCTGCCAAGTGTTGCCAGAGATACTGTTTGATTCTTAGTTACGTGCTACAAGTAGTATGCGCCTATCATGAGGCTTACATGCGTTTGTTTCACCCAAACGCCTCAAAATCATGAAGGGAAACCATCTTTCAGTTTGATCAACATGTGTACCTGAAGGTTATCGTGGCAAAAAAGCAGGAGCAGCGAACGGTTTCTGGGTGGGGTGGTGGTTGAAAGGCAGCTAAACAAGCATGATAATTGGAATGTTGTCATTGTTTGTGCACTCCCATCATTTGATTGTGACTCTCTAGTTTGATTTGTCTCATGTAGACCTACATAACCCAAAGCCCCCTGGGAAACTAACCATTGGGAGAAAGTCTTTGTCTTGCCGTTTTAGTGGGGAAATCCCGATTACCAATCTGAGGAATCCTATAAAGCGCAATGGTTCTCGTTAGATGAAAACATGTGTGTCCGTCCAATGTGCACAGGTTTTTGAGCGCCAGCCGGGACCACATAATCACATGCCTTAAAATGGTTTTGAGGTACTGCACAAGCCCATTCAGGTGTGTCATTTTTTGAACTCCAAAATGGTCCCTAGGCTCAATCCAAGAAACCTAGGCCCGATCAATCCTTCTGCACCCTCCCAAAGCTTGGCCCTGGCCAGCCAACATGTTGAGACATCGACCTGTTTAGTCCAGCCTAGTCCTACCTTTTGCAGGAGCTTCTTGATGCGAATGGGGATCCCTGGACTTTTCGTTGAGGATTCAACGTGCCCTAAGAAACTTGCTTTGCTTGTGGGATTCGAGATGACTTCCACTTGCAGAACTGGAACACGGGCTTTTGCTGGCTTTCGGTAGCAAGGTGCCTTGTTCCCTTTCTCGTGCTCCCAGGCTTTGTTAGATGCCTGTCAAGTACCGGCGTCTATACTTCGTTTATTGTCACTCACACCGCGCCCCCCTTGAGAGAGCTTGTTTTCCGTTCTGCCAACCCACACGGAACCTGGCCTTGCTGGTATGGATGGAGTTAGGAGTCAACTTGCATTTTGTCCCCGCGGGGCCTGACGTTGCTTCACTGGGTTGGCGTTCTTCGGGCGTTCTTCTGGGAGGACCCTCTGGGGGGGCACTAAGGGAACTCCTCCTTGCCAGCACCCCCTCCCCTGCCGTCCCAGACGTCAGGGCGACAGTGCCTACATTCAAGTCATTCTCAGCCACTGCGTGGCCTTTGCTTCAACTATTTTGCTTCCTGTCATGGCCCATGCGTAGCCTTCCGTGGCCGCCGCTTGGCCGTACTTTGCCCACTTTGCTTCTTCTCTTGGCCCTTCCGTGCCCCCCGCGTGGTCCTGCTGGCCTTCCGTACTTTGCTTCCTTTCTTGGTCTCGCAGCCTACTTTGCTCACTTTGCTTCCTGTCTTGGCCCCTGCATGGCCTTCTGCGGCCGCGCGTTGCTTTACTTTGATTCCCCTTCGGAACTTCTGTCTTGGGCCCTGCAAGGCTCTCTTTGGCCCTGTGTGGTTTGTCTTCGGTCCTCTGCGGCCACCTTCCGGCCCCTTTTGGCCCCTGCGCGGCCTTACCTTGCTTACCTGCTTCCCGTCTTGGCCTCGTCATGGCCTTCTGTTGCCTTCGCGGGGCCTTGCTGGGTGGCTTGCGTGGCCTTGCGCGGCCCCCGTGTTGTGCGGCCTTCCATGCTGCCGGGGTGGCCTTACGTTCTTGGTCGTCCTGTGTCTCGGCTGCATGTAGTTTCCGGCCAGCTTGAACCCCAAGCTTCGGCCAAAAGGGAAGCGCGGGCCTGGCCTCAACATGCGCTGGCCACGAAAACCAACCAACCAACCAACCAACCAACCAACCAAGCAAGCAAGCAAGCAAGCAAGCAAGCAAGCAAGCAAGCAAGCAAGCAAGCAACCAATTTGCATTTTATCCACGTTACGCACGAAGCAAACTTCATACATGACTTAACTAGCAATGTAGATGTGCGAAAAACTTAAAACCTGTACTTTGTTAGTCACGCTGTTTTGGCCGTTTTACTTGTGGCCTGCAACTGAAATCCCACCTCTGTCAATGCAAGCCCAGGTCCTTGTTTCAGTTCAAATGCCGGCAGGCTGTGTTCTCTTCCATTTGGTTGCTCAGTGCCGTTGGGTTTGACTTAAGGACCCTTGGAACTATGCAGTACACGTCGCCGCGTCGGCTTCGACTCGACTGCTTGCAAGGCAGGCAGAAGGCAGCCAGAGACGCTCAAGGACAACATGCGCCGTCACATCGAGGCGAGCGGAAAAAAAGGCAAAGATATGTGGAGTCCGTGGAATGTGTGACAGTTGGACCCCTCGGGTAGCTTGCTGGTTTCCTTATCCATCAAAAGAGGCTCACTTTCGACATGTCCCAAAGATTTGAGGGGCGTTGCTTTTTTCACTGTGGAGCCTCCAGGCATCTCGAGGAGAGAGGGTGATTGTTAGATGCATCGCTACCAGATCTTCATGATATTCAAATCAAACACATCAGTAAGCATGCTCCATTGTGTTTGTGTTCCAACTGCAAAGCACATGCAAATGCCATTCGTCCTCCCTGTAATTTCAAAATGCTGCACTTATCATGACACATCACAAGTGCTTACAATACATCTTGAAGATCAAATGTGTTGGCCGTCGAGTACACACACACACACACACCGCTTTTGTACTAAAGGGTCAACACAAGGATCTCTTGCTCCTCCATGGGTTCCCTCACTTTGACCAGGGCTTTGCCATCAAGAAATGGCGCCCTTGGTCTGGATGCCTTTTATCAAGGGCAAGCATCCATAAACCGGGCCTCGTTTTGTTGGAACGGCAAACCGTTGGCAAGCTGTGGCCAGGAGTTGAGCAACGCTGTGCCGTACTTGGAGTGCCTGGAGCGCCGGCAGATGAACCAGTGGAACTTGTTCCAGGCCGAAAGCGCTGAGTGGGTGGGGGGGAGGGGGGGGGGGGTAGGGGGGGTGAGCTGGGAGGGGCAGGATTGGACATGTTGCGAAAACTGGTAGAAGTCTTGGGGCTTTGCGGTGCCTAGGCAGTTTTTGTTGATTTTAAGGGTTTGCCCGTTGACTTTGTCGCAGACGGAGCTGGCGGACAAGGGCTTCGAGAGCCGCACCATTGCGGAGCTGCGCTTGCTGTGGCAGCAGCAAGATGCCCGGGTCCTGGACCGGTCCGGGTGGGTCATTTTTGAGGAAATCCATCCACTGATGGATGAAGCTCTAATCCTGAGAGACGGTATCACTTGGTGCAGAAGGCTTTGTCCACATTGGGCAGGGAGGAGTGGGCCGGAGGTGTGGCCGGCGCGGTTGAAAGATGTTCAGCGCGTCGGAATAGATGGCCTCATCTTTTGTTGCGGCCTCACAGCTTCGTGGCTTGGGATGGTCCCTTGCAATCGCGCCTGGCAGCTGAGGGACGGGGTGGCGTTTGTCATACGCGTCCAGGGTTTCGTGGGGGCACGGCTTTGTCTTTTCTTGGACTCTAAGGAACACCTCGTCCTCCGTGCACCAGAGTTGTCGAGAAATCCGTTGCTTCCTCTGCCCCATGTATACTCTCTTCATTTTTGTTCATGGGGTTGACTCGCATGTTCCAAAGAAACAAAACCAGCCCTCGTGGCACCGGTCTTGTCTTGCCCGTCTTGGGAAGGGGAAGGGTCCTGATGGCTGCGCAGTGGTTGCTGTCTTGGCAGCTTTGCTGAGGACACGGTCATGCTCAACAAGCTCCAGTCGCTGATCCTGCGCGGGGCCAGGGCCCCAAGATCAGGGTATACGACTTATCGACATCCCGGACAAAGTTGCAGAGGTTCCATGTTGAAGGGTTGCGTTTTGCGAATTTCCAGTTTCCGTATGGCTATGTGCCAGGTTGCTCTTGCAAACATCAGGGAGTGCACAAATTGGGGTTTTGCGCTTTATGTTCTTGCAAAGGTTCTTTCAGGTTTTGAGCCACCGGCTGGTGCATCAACGGTGAAGTGAATCCCTTCTCGCTCCAGGTGCCGAGCTACCTGCGCCCGCAGATCTGGGCAGAGTGCCATGAGCCAGTTGTTGCTTGCAACATGGGTTTCAGCTGGACGTGAGTGGCGCCCAGACAATTCAAGGGGTCCAAGAGTCTCAGCTCCATGGAGACGATGGAAAGCTTTTGCTGCAATTTATTTTCTGAGGGCCAAGGACTTTCGGAGCTGTCCCTTGACTGATGCGTGGATGGCAGGGGAATTTCTTGGGCACGGGCGCTTTGTTTGTTCTTGGCGGCACACATATGCGACAGAACAGACCTCTATGCGAGTTTCGTGAATCGCATCAATCCAAGAAAGGGCCAATTGACATGTCAGGAACGTTTCTCGGACACATTGATGCCAGCTTAAGTCGCCACGCAGTATCAACATCCGTGCCTCTTGGTGCAAGAGACCCTGAAGGTCAGGTCGCTTGAAGGGAATGTGATCTCCAAATGGGTGTGTATGGTGTGTCTTTTTTGGGGGACTGCCCCAAAATGGCTTCGGTTTTCCTTCTGGCGTATAGCCACAGAACAAGGTAGCCGTCGAGAAAGACAGACCCAAATTGGTTCGCCACATGTACACATCACCTTCGAGGCCTTGAAAGGTCCAAACTGTGGAAGCACCCCCCGACCCCGGGATGCGACATGTGTGGTGTGTCCAAACGAGTCTCCACCCCGCGGCCCGCGGCGTTCCGAAGCCAAAGGCCCCAAAGCGGTTGACACGTTCGATGCCAGGGTCACCCTGGCCTCGCGGGTGGCGGCCTATGACGGGGCCGGAAGCCAGACCCGGGAGGGTGTCGAGTCAGCCCGGGCGCCCGGACAAAAGCGAGCATCGGAGGCAAAGCTGTTGGAATTTGGGTCAAGATCAAGTGGGGCACAGGTTCAGGTATCCTGGCTTTAGGCTGAATGTCCTCCTCCTTTTTGGGGAGGGTTTCGAGTAGCGGCTCTTGCTCGAAAGGTGCCTTCTCAAAGCAATCAGCTCGGTTGAACCATTCGGGGCGTAGTGAAATGTTGTTTCAACTGGGACCCCAATGAAGCCCTTGATGCAGCACACCACCCAAGCAGGTCGGCACACCAGTGTGCGTTCTTCCTCGGGCACAAACACATGAAATTGTATATCAGGTTTGCATGCGTGGCCGCATACCGATACAGGCATGGCGTATTTGTACATTGTGTATATACGTATATATATATATATGCTTTTCACTGAATACACGTTTGTATGCATATACCCGTCTGTCTCTCTCTCTCTCTCTCTCTTCCTCTCCCTCCCTCCCTCCCTTTCTCCCTCCCTCCCCCCCTCCCCTCCCCTCCCCTCCCTCCCCCCCCCTCCTCCCTCCCCTCCCTCCTCCCTCCCCCCCCCTCCCCCTCCCCTCCCCCTCCCCCTCTCCCTCCCCCCCCCCCCCCCCTCCCCCGTACAGTAGATTCTATCCTATGTGGCGAACACCTGTGGCCTTGAAATGATTAGAAACACACACAATAATTAGAAAACATGTTGTGATTCATCCTAACTAATTAGAATAATTAGAATACTTACAAAATATAGAATAATTACAAGAATTGTAAAAAAAATATAAGGCTACATTTTTTTCTAATTATTCTAATTATTTAATGGCCTGCGGCCTGGTTCCGCCGCCCCCACACACCTTAGAATTTCGGCGCGGGACGAGAGAAAGCACGCATGCACAGACCCGTTCGCGGACACGAAGACAGACGCAGATACGTAGACAGACACAGACAGACACAAAGACACGCAGACAGACACGCAGCGAGGGGGAGGGTCTTCGCGGACACGAAGACAGACGCAGATGCGTAGACAGACACAGACAGAGCCAGACAGAGACAAATAGACACACACACACAGACAAGGGGGGGGACACGAAGACGGACGCAGATACGTAGACAGACACAGACAGACACAAAGAGACAGAGACAGACACGCAGGGGGTCTTCGCGGACACGAAGACAGACGCAGACAGACCCAGGCAGACACAAGGAGACACAGACAGACACGCAGGGGCAGGGGAGTCTTCGCAGACACGAAGACAGACGCAGATACGTAGACAGACATAGACAGTGACAGGGGGGGGGGGCGGAGGGGTGGGGGAAGACTACCCGAAGCCTAAGGGAAGAAGCCCGAAAGCACAGGACACGAGATTGAGTCCTAACGCGCGTTGTTTGGTCCCGAAACATTATCGGAAGACAAATGATATGGATCCGTGGCTCAAATCTGCATTTTTAGCTGCTTCTGCCTTGATAAAACGGCCTTTGGACCTGGCCTTGATAAAACGGCTATTGGGCCGGCTTTGGCTAAATATGGCTTGGGCCGGCCGCTGAGGAATCGATTGCGCGGGGTGATGTTGAACTTGCAACCCGTGGCTCAACTCTGAATATCCGCTTGATAAAACGGCCATTGGCCGCTTTCTAGCTATCAAGGCCAGCCTCAAATCTGGTCGTCTGGCCGTTTATCTGCTTCTGCCTTGATAAAACCTCCATTGGTGGCCTTGATAAAACGGCCATTGCCGGCTTTGCCTAAAAAACGGCTTGGCCTGGCCGCTGATAACTTGATTGTGCGGGAGAACAGTGGAATTGCAATCGCTCAAATCTGGAGGTCTGATTGCTTCTGCCTTGATAAAACGACCATTGGCCGCTTTCTAGCTATCAAGGCCAGCCCTTGATAAAACGGCCGTTGGGCCACTTTTGTCTAAGAAAGGGTTGGCTTGGCCGCTGAAACAAAGCGGTGGGCTTTATTGCTGCGGCACACGCAAGACTTTTGCTCTTGAACTGTTTCGTGCACGAGCGCCGCCACAAGGACATAGCGAAGCAAATGCGAGTCTTCTGGCCAAAGAGCGCGCGTGTATCATAATTACATGTGCGTCTCGGGCTCTCTAAAACTTAGAGTGGTAACATGATGTGAAGCCAATGCCAGGAGATCAAGCGTTACGCCAATGAGATCCACAACGCCGGTAGTTGGGTCTCAAGGCATGTAATCCTCAACGCTGCTTTTGCCCAGCTCTTGCGTGTGCAGGAGTTTCAGGAAATATGCAAAGCGTATCAGCCTGATGTGGTTGTGGATCGCAGGCGCCTGGTAGGCAGTCTGACGTATTGCAAGGTTGGCAGCCGTCTACGGATCGTGCCAGAAAGCTGGTTTGGCGGATTGTGTCATGAGACCAGTCGACAAAAGAACCTGCCTGTCAGCCGAGCGACCGTCTCCATTTTACGCAGAGCAACAAGTATGCTCGCGTGTCATATCCTGCCGCAAAGCCTCATGGTTGCAGCTTGTCGGCTGGAACTTTGGAGCGCTTGCCAACTTAGTTTATTTAGTAAGCGTGTCGTGTTTCGTGATGGATGATGGCCCCCGGTGGGAGAGGGCGTGGATGCCACAAGCGGGCTTGCCGTGGCTGTGGGAGAGCTCTTGCGCTTCAGTTCGTGGTGGCATGTCCGACATGCTGGGGCTGAAGCTCCCGATCTACCTTAACGTGACTGGTGTCGCCATGAGCAGCCGGATGTTTTCGTGTACGAGGACCGGCGTCAGGGCTACCTGACATCTTGT